TGTGGAGCTTGATTGTGTTATGATTCAATTTTAGCCTGTCCTCGATGGCTTAAATAATAGTGGCTCTATAGTGGCTTAAATAATTATATGGCTCTGTAAGGAGCCTACAGGGATATTCCTCATTCCTATTGAACTCAATCAGTACATGTGTTTACCACTATACTGAAATTAAATTAAATTTTGCTTTAGTTACAGAAACCAGACAATGATGCCTATCAATATTCTTTGAGGAAAGGTACAGATTCTTTTACTGAATAAAGTGAATTGTTTTGCAGGATTCAAAGGCATAAATTTGAGCAGAGTGACAGGCAGTTGATATGACTTCACTAGTATGTATTGTCATACTTGTTCTTGAGTTATGGGTGGTATGATGAGCTCTTNTGGTATCATTATGCAATGTACTGAACCTTGATTTTTTTTTCCCCCATGTAGCAATATGTCTTGGAGAACTTCAGTATCTGCATATATAGTCCTACCTCATTCTTTTTATCACTAATGTCAGCATTAAAATTATATTGAAGATGGGTAGTACAGTACAATTAATGTGTCCTTTAAGGCACAACTTGGTTGTTTCCAGGGTGTATGTTTTTTTGCTTGTTTTTGCTATTATAAACATGTTGCATTGAACCAACAACTCTGTGTGTATGTGTATGTATACACATACATATAGAATGTGTACATAAAGTAAGTTAACTTGTATTTGCTAAGATTTTTCCATTTCAAGTATGTAAGGTATATAAAGTTTTGGTGCAGTTTTTAGGAATTCCTTTATATAAAATAGTGGTATACATTTTTTAACTTAAAATTAAATAGTTGAATCACTCTTTGGAAGTGATAAGCTGATTTTTGAGTATTTACAGTTTATTACCTGGCAAGTAAGATTTGATATTCAACAACCACATAGAAAATATATCTCAAATTATTTCACAATAGTTTATATTTGGTGCCCAGAGGAGAATCTTAAGTAGAGCAGTGAAATGATCTGAAGTTTAGATCGATCATTACTGGCTATGTAATTGGGANGACTTCACTAGTATGTATTGTCATACTTGTTCTTGAGTTATGGGTGGTATGATGAGCTCTTGTAGGCCAATTTCAAGTGTTAGGAAAGTAATGCACACACAAATCTTGGGTGTTGTAGATCTTCTTTGTGTCCAATAATAACTGAGACACATTTAATTAGTTATTTGCCAACCTGATTAACTCATGTATGAAGGAGATAAACACTAGATTGGGGTCAAGGCAAAAAACCAAGATCAAAGGCAAAACCCAGGATTTTTGAAAGAGGGGAGAGAGGCGTGATTAGCAAAACAAACTGCATGGCTGACCCCGTCGTGCACTCGGGAGAGTGCGGCACTGGGAGCACAGCAGCGCTCCCGCCGTGGGTTTGGATCCTATATAGGGATGGCTGGTGCGCTCACTGGCTNTTTTTTTTTTCTAAGTTCTGAAATTATGTGCCCATGAATCTCAACTATCTGGAATCTTCAGGGAATGAATTGTGTTGGATAATAACATTATATAAAAATTTAATCTGTACCTCCAATTAAAACACAGTGGCTATTTTTAGATGAAAACTCATTAAGATTTACTGTATACTTCCCTGATATCTTAAACAAAGTACAGTCATGTGTTGCTTAACCATGAGTACACATTCTGAGAAAAGCAT